AAATAGGCTCCAATTTCTTTCACATGAGAAGAAGAAGTTTGTCCCAAAATGCGAATTGCAAACTTTTATAATATTGGAGCACTACCCCCAAAACATTGCCACCAGACATCTACATCAAATTCAAATAAATTAATAGTAGTTAATATTTAAAATTTAATAAAAGAAAAAAAAGAGGAAGAAGCTAACCAGGTTGTATTTCATTTGCTACTTTATGAGCTTCTTCTAGGCTAAAAGAGCCTTGGCGCTTTCGATACATTTGCATCTCAGAAATCATGTCAGAATACTTATAGGTAGACTTGTATATTGAAAAATAGTCCAACATTGATTTGTCACTCTACTCTTCTCAATAAATCCTTGATCATACAAGAATGCAGGATTTAAAAAGTAAGCTGCTGCATGTAAATCACACTTCAAATGCTTATCCCACTGAGCTTGAATTATGCTTGTGTAAGGCTTGTATTGTTCCTTCTATGTACGAAAGAAATTTTTGATTGAATTCTTTGCTCTCTACATACCTTCATAAACATAACACAAAGATGGTTTGTCATCAGCATCTACAATTTTTAGTAGCTTGATAAGAGGACCCACAAGACATACAATTTGATGGCAATCATCCCAAAACTTCTTGTACAACATAATGTCACCAACTAGTTGCCCAGCTTTAGTCATTAATAGTTTATTATCATGGAAGTGTTTATCTAAGACCAAGGCTTGCAAGTCATGCTTGTGCTCATGCAAACTCTTCAATGTAATGAAGGTAGTAGCAAACTTGGTCACTCTTGGGCGCACAATTTCTGTCTAGCCATCTCTTCTCCTAAGCCATGAAAGAAAAGCCACATGATTGTACACAAAAATAGTAATTTTTTATGCCTTTGTTACAAGGTCAGCTACATGGGCCATGCTTGCAATGTCCTTCAAAATAAGATTCAAATAGTAAGTAGCACAAGGTGACCAATAAATATGATTATATTTTTCACGAATCAACCTTCCAGTAGCTAATAATTGGCTACATTATCAGTCACAACATGCACTATATTTGTAGGACCGACCCACTCAATAACTTCACAAAACAAAAAAAACAAATTCTTGGCATCCTTGACTATATGTGAAGCATCAACAAACTTTACAAAAACCAAGCTAACAGGAGAATAAACTAAAAAATTTATTAATGTCCATTGCCTTTTGTCAGTCCAACCATCAGCCATGAGTGTGCAGCCACTTTCTTTCCTAGTGGCTTGATGGCTTTCGATAGCTTGCTTACTTGGCTTTGGATCTGGAGCAATTACTTCACATTCTGAGTTATCAACAAACTCTTCAGGCATGACTGGATCATTAAGCTTCCTCTTATTTGCCAATGACACTCCTTTTAAAGATTGAACCATTCTATGGCAAACATCATGTGAAAACTTCTTGCAAGAAATTATATTTTCTGAAACATTTGCAAGATGCTGCTTCATCCTAGTGATCCCACCTCCTCTAAATGATGAGGAGCAATGAAGGCAAGTATACACACAGGTTCTCCCCTCTTTTTTAAAAGCAAAATGCTCCCATGCAGGATCACTTTTCCCCGAAGAGAAGGTGTAGATGATACTTGAACCCCAAAGGCATCATTACTATTTGAACCAACATCAATTTGTAGGGTACTATTACTATTTGGAGTCGAGCCAGAGGGAGTGTTAACGACAAGAGTAGGATCAGGATCATTAACTTGCACATTGGGCTCGGTAGCAAGAGTGGGAGGTTCCAAATCCATAAAAAACAACTAAGCTTAATCAAAATTATTAAATCAACAATCAGTAATCAGTAATCAATACCAGATGTCCAAATTCACAATCAATTATTTTTTAAACTATCATTTGATTGAGCTTCAAGAATAGGAGCTCTAACCTGTTAATGAAGATTGAAGATGGCAGAAGAGGCTGGAAATGGACTTGACTGGATTGGAAAATGTCAAAATCAAGGTCAGCCGAGACTGGAGAACGAGCCAAAGTCTAACAAAAATGCGATGAACAGAGGAGAGGGAGGAACGCGAACAAGATGACCAGGTGAGAGCTCACGAGGTTCATTGGACTAGTTCTGTGGGAGCTCGCTGGACTGGTTTTGTGACAGCTCACCGAATCTTGTTCTACGGAAGCTCGCCAGATAGATTCAATAGATCGGTTAATAGGGTTCCACAGCAGCTTGCGTTCAAGCTTCGAATTTCTTCTCAGACTGGAGTACTCTGGAGGGTTCCACGGCAGCTTGCGTTAAAGCTTTGAATTTCTTCTCGGACTGGATGACGGCTAAGAGAACTCGAGGGAGAAGAAGACAATCGAACGATTTTAGTTTAAAATTAGGTTCTAAGCTTCTAGCGTTCTAAGGACAAAACGGTGTCGTTTTGTGAAACTAGGAAGGAGAAAAAAATAATACTAGACCGCCTGAATTGTCGGTTCTCCCTATTCAATCCGGTTCAAAGTCGGTTCAGGTGGTTCTTGTCTGGTTCTCCCTCCCCCCGATTCTGCATGATCTTCGAACCAAATACCGAGCCGGTTCCCGATTGAACCGGTCGAATCGGCTGGTCCGGTCCGATTTTAATAACCTTAGTTTTAGTTAGTGTACTGGATTTTTATCAATGTAATAAATAGCTTAAAAGTCTCCATGGAGAATTTTACATTAAGGTTTTCGATTAACAAATTTATAAAATTTTACTCATATTTTTTAATGATATATAACAAGGTTGTCAAACTCATGAGTCTAAGTAAACTTATGACAGGTATGTAAACTCGAAACGTAAATTCAAATCATAAACTCATCCTCTATTAATAAAAAGCCTTTAAAAGTAGATGATTAAATAATTAAAATATAAAATATGATCATAATTTAATTTAGATATATTTATTGAAATTAAATCTATCTACATTAATATATTATTACACTTAACACATAAATTTTCAAATAGGGCAACTTATTTTTGGTATTTTTTGTATTCTTTTTTATTAATATTAGTTTTTTTTGTTTTTTTTTATTGAACCAGGTCCTACCATTTATATGAACTAAGTTTTACAATTATCTTACTCAACGAGTTTATGAGTAAATTGGCATAATGTTATAAGTTTAAAACATAAAAACAGTGAACTGAAAAAGTTAACTTGTAAGTTTAACTAAATTTTATTCAGTCTAAGTTTATGAACGGGTTAACATAATTTTGTAAATTAAAAACACAATAATGATAAATTTGAAAAGTCAACTCGAGAATTTGATAATAATGATATACAATGCTATAAAATAATATTCATGTCTTCCTTAAGATATGAAATGATTAATGTATAATTTTTTTAAAACGATATTATTTCATTTTTACTTTATTTTCTCTTAAAATATGCAATCTTCATTTCAAAAGTTAAACTTATATATTGCATAAGTTACTTAATTATCTAATTACATAGTAATAGTACATTAAAAAAAAAGATATTTTTCATGACTCAAAAATAACGGGTTGTAACTTGTTATGATTATATAAACCAACTTTTGGGAGAATATGTTTCGCATGGAGCTTGAGGATACCAACCTCATTATTAATTATGAATAATTTATAAATAATGTGACTTCCTACATATAAAGACATAGTAGATTACATCTTATCTTTTATCGTTGGGATTAGTTTATTTATTTAGCATTATCAATTAATCTAATTAAATTGGATTTATATAAGAATGTTTTCAAATAAGTTCCACTCTAAAAATTATTTTTTAAAAAAGTAGAGCGTATAATTTAAATCTTAAAAATTTTATTATTTTCATTTTGCCATTTTAATTGGGAACGGATTTTGTTTTCAATCCCTTGCCGTTATTGATAATTCAGTTTCATTGCATTAAATCATTGCAACTTTATTTTTATTTCCTTTTTACTATTGTGAGAAAGAAATATCATGATTAGATGATAAAGTCAAGGATTGACCCCATTAAAAGATATTGATATTTAATTTTTATCCAGAAATATACTTGATTTATGCTAAGCTCGGTTTCATATGTAAAAATTAAGTTAGCAATAATTAGACACAAATTATACCTTTCTAGGTAGAATCAAGTTAATGTCTTCTTTAAGAAATCATAATTTACTCTTTTGATATTGAGATCTGATAGGAGAAGGAAAAGAATGCAGAATTTTTCAAAATAAAGTAATTCATCAATGTTAATTAAACTCAGTTACACATTAATTAAAGCCGTAATGATTTGTCACAACTCACAAGTTAAAAAAGTGATACTTTTTTTTTGGGTAGGGAAAAGTTATAATTTCATTTACCCAGAAAACAATAAACAACAAAAAAGAGAGACGAGGCAATTTTATTTTGAAAGAAATTATAATATGTTGCTAATATATTTGAGAGGAAAAATGCGAAAATTTCAGCTAGTAGAAAAAAATCATTAAATTGAATCCACACCAAACATTTAATTATGCATTTCTTGTATCTTCTTGTTTTTTTACTACATAGAAATTATTCCTACAAACAATAAAATATTTTCTGACCCCTGGCGAAGGTACAGGTATCAATAGTATTGAGTCCACCAGAAAATGTAATCTGTGGTAAATTTAAATTTAAATTTTTATTATGAGAAATATTAATTTAATATTTGATGATATTTTAAATATAATTGTATATAAACAAATACTTGTGTGCAACAACAAAAATAATAATAGTAGAGGTTGAGCATGACTTTTGAGTTCAGTGTAGTTTGATATAAAAAATAAAATTTAATTAACAGATGTTGGTTTTAATCAAAGGAACTATAATCGTAGGTCTTAAATTTAAATTGAATAATGCTTGAACTTAAAATAGTCAAATAGCTATATAATAATTTCATTAAGAAAAATTAATTATTATTCTAATATATAGTAATATAGTTGGATAAATTATTAAAATTAAGCTACTATAAACTAGCATAATAATTTGATCACTGAAAGTTTATTATTATTATAAATATATTTAAAAAAACAATAAATAGTGAGGCAGAATACTTTCATCTCCTCAAAGGCTCGAACCCCAAAAACCCAAGACGCTGCTTCTCATTCTCTTCCATTTTCTCTGAACCTTCTCTGCCACACTGCGTTCTGCTTTCTAACCCTGAACTCTTCTCGCTCTTCCTTCTTCCTCCTCCTGACTCTGATTATGCAGCCTTGTAGCAAAGAAATGCAAGGAATAAACTCTCTCGTGAACTCTTCTCAGATTTCTCTCTCCGACCTCCACCAGATCCAAAATTCTCAGATGAATCCTCCTCCTCACCTTACGAACCCTTCTTCCTCATCTCACTTCGACTCTTCTTCTTCCCACGACGATTTTCTTGACCAAATGCTCTCCAACCTTCCCTCTTCCCCCTGGCCGGACCTGAACCCCAAGCCCTTCTGGGACGACATGCCTCCGCCGTCCCATGCCGCCGATAATGTTGCGTTTCAGTATGATGACCAAACCAGCTTGGCTTCCAAGTTCCGAAACCACCAGATCAGTAGCGACGGTAGCAACCACTGTACCAAGTCGTCGACGGCGGCGCTTATGCTTCAGGCTCAACAGCAGTTTCTGATGTCCCGAGGCGTCGCCGGACCTGGAGACTCGGGCCTCCTTCCGATGCCGTTATCGTTGGGCGGCGGAGACGTTGACCGCTCCCGAAACGACGTCATGGATGGGTCGTCGTTCAAATCTCCCAATCCGGTGAGACCAGTGGTTTCAAACGCGTCAGGTACATGGACGGATTAGTTTAACATAGTGCACTTTTCACTGAATTTTGTGTAAGTTGTTCTTATATAGGGAGGTGAGAGTTCAGTTCAAGCCCTGTATAACAGATTCGCCGGTTCTCTGCATGGCGGCGGCCAAGTTTCGAATCAGACTCAGCATTTTCCTCATCCACAGGTTTTTTCGAATCATGTCGTTTCATTGAAATTGGCTATGATATTGTATTTTCCGTTTCATTTCTCGGTTCAATCCTTGAATTAATGAGATAACCGAATCATGGCCAGAATCTCGGCGGTTCAGGCACCGCAACGAACCAAGCTCCGGCGAGCAGTACTCCGGCACAACCGAGACAAAGAGTTAGGGCTAGGAGAGGTCAAGCCACGGACCCACACAGCATCGCCGAGAGGGTACTGTTTCTCTGACTTTTTTTGTGGCTTCATTAAACGTGTTTGGCTGCCTGTCCAAAAAAACGGAACCAATAATTTCAGGTGTCATTTTCCGTATCGCACAACTTTTTTACAACGTCCAAGGACGACGAAGACTATTTTTGGTGTCGCCAGGAGAGCAAAGAATATTTTTCTTTTTTCCCTCTCACAAAGTCTTCTTTTAAAAATAAAACCCTAAGAAAGTGACCGAATCGCTTTGCTTTCCCTTTCTTCCGTTGTTCTGGGCAACCAAACAGGAAAAAAAAAAAAAAGCATCAAGGTTTGACGCGGTTTCTGCTTCTGTTTCTGTTTCTTACTTCGTCCTGTTCGGGAATAATGTATGCGGCAGTTACGAAGAGAGAGAATCGCTGAGAGAATGAAGGCTTTGCAAGAACTCGTTCCCAATGCAAACAAGGTAATTAACTTATTATTATTATTATTAATTATTAATTACGTCATTTATTCAATTCGAATTTCAAAACAGAAGACAACGACCCCTGCAACAGAACCGTGATCAACGGAATGAACGAAATGTAGTCGTGGTCCCGTTTAGCCACGTACGTGGGTTGAAATTGAGGGAAAATAAAATGAAATGAAATGAATATTATTATTATGATTATTATTTAAAAAAAATTGGGATTGAAAGTGATAGTGGTTGCAATTTTAATTTCAATTATTCGTTGTGTTGGTGGAATGACAGACAGACAAGGCCTCGATGCTGGATGAGATCATCGATTATGTTAAGTTCCTACAGCTCCAAGTTAAGGTCAGAATGCTCTTATATATTTTCAATATATTAATAGTACTCTTATTTTCAAAATATTTTATATTTTACAAAAATGGGATGAGAGTACTGTACTGGGTGTGATTTTGGATTTGGGTTGATTTTTGGTTTAATGGGATTGGTTTATTTATTACAGGTATTGAGTATGAGTAGGTTGGGCGGTGCAGCTGCTGTGGCTCCCCTAGTTGCTGATATGGCCTCCGAGGTACACTATTCTATATGATCATTGAATGCTTTTTCATTTTATGTTTGACATAATTACTTGATTAATTAGAAAGCTTTAAAAGACTTGTTTTTAACTCAATCATCTGTTTTCATCACATTCCCTAACTTGCTCAAAGGCCAAAAATTGATAATCCATACGACCATACCCCAGTAATTTTGAGCTCTAAGATTTAAACTCACATAATTTGTTCCTTGAATTTATAATTAAAAAAAGAAAGAAAAATAAAAGGAAAACGCAACAAGAGACTAGAGTCCTCAAAAAAACATGTTTTTTGGATGACAGAGTCCTCAAATTTCCATAAGAAGAAACTTGGGAGAGTTGTGATGATAGTAAGGAAGGTTAAATTATTTGGGGATTGGGAAGAAGGACCTAGTGGTTAAATTATTTGGACAAAAGGACCAAGGACACTAATTCACTTGAAGGACCTTGGTCTTTTTTTCAAATAATTTAACTTCATGGTCCTTCTTCCCAGTTTCCCCAAGTAACAGAGAATAAATTTTGTCGGAGGGAGTCTTGAGAGTCTATGGCCGCACCCACCCAGTGTTACTCAACCTGACTTCTCTATTCCTCAAATTCTCAATCACCACAAAACGACAATCCCAAAAAGCAGCACGCGTGCCCACTTTCTCAGATTCCTCTCTCTCTCTCTGTTCATCACTTTCAGTCTTTCACGCCATTGCCTTTTTCTTTTCTTTCTTTAGTTTCTCTCTCTCTCTCTCTCTCTGCTCTGTTTTTGTCTTTTACTTGATGTCACCATTCTTGGATCAGCAGGTAGGCGGTGCGGGAGGGGACTGCATTCAGGCCTCATCGGGCAACGGTGGTGGGGCCGTCTCTGGGAGCTCCAACGGCAACCAAACGCCGCCAGCAACCTCCAACGACAGTATCGCCATGACGGAGCACCAGGTGGCCAAGCTCATGGAGGAAGACATGGGCTCCGCCATGCAGTACCTGCAGGGCAAGGGTCTGTGTCTCATGCCCATCTCCCTCGCCACCGCCATCTCCGCCGCCACCTGTCATTCCAGGACCCCCCTGATCAACACCTCCGGCAACAACAACCACCACCACCAGCAGAAAGGGCCGTCGTCTCCCAGCATGTCGGTATTGACCATGCAGTCGGCGACGGCGGGTAACGGTGTCACGGAGAGCTCCGTCAAGGAGGTGGCCTCCGTTTCGAAGCCGTGATGACGGCGTTAACGGAATTTGTGACTTTTCCTTTTGCCGCTAAATAAACAAAGCAGAGTAAAATGACAGGAAGAGACGAAAGATAGAAAAAAAAGATGACGTGGATTTACTTATATATATATATATATATATATGGGCCCGCCTAAAGTCTACGAAAATAAAGCGTCAGGGGAGGCCTTAGACGACGCCGTATTTGCGTAGACTTTAGCTGACGCTAACACCTTGGAAGAGAAGCTCTCCAATCCCCTCGATGTTCCTCTTGTGATCACTTTTTTGTAATATTTTTTGGTTGTACTTTTCACACTGTCATGGACTACAAGCTTTTTACTATTTAATTATTTTTGTTTTTGAGGTACTACTCGTATATTATCTGTATTAATAATAATAGTTGGCCGCAGGTATCGTGATAATAATCAATAATTAGGAAATAATGAGGGAGGGATCAGGGATGGGATCTACAATTATGGTATTGAACTTTTTACAGGGAAAGCAATGGCAGCTTTCAGTGTAGTAGTATGTTTCACGACTCTCGGTTTACTGAAGTGATTTGTTAGCATCCAGGTATTTTATTCTATTCCATTTTTAATTTTTTTTTTAAAAAAATGGGAAGCCAAGGGGCTTCAAAGTCCGAATCTAAATGCGGTGAAAAAGAAAAACACGTGTCAACTAAAAAAGTTTTTATATTTTATAAATACCTTTTTAAAATGATGAAATATTAATTCTTTAAATTTGCTTCAAACATCAATTTTGTTGCTTAGATTTAATTTTTTTTATTTTTTTTAAATTTTCATATTAGTTTAAGTCTTAAAATAAAAATTTACTCTCAAATTAATTAAGATAATGTGTAAAATATTTTTTATTAGAATATGTAAAATATTTTGATCACTTGCCATATGCAATTAAATGAGCATAAGATAACCATTATATCAATTTAATTTTTATTAGTATAGTCTCTTATGTTACGTTTTGTTCTTTTGATTTTTAAAATTTGAGTCTATTTTTTTTACATAAATAATTACATTTCTTTTAAAAAAAACTTATATATTTAAAATACTTATAACTAATTAAACCAAGATACGTGAATCTTTTATAGATTATCTTTTATATAATGAATTCTTGTTATAAATTAAATTAATACATTAGGATTTACATGTCATAATTTATTTTGATATAAATATATTAAGTATATAAGGTTAAATACATAAGTTTTGCCTTTTTTTTATTAATTTATATGGCTACCATCAATATTATATGTTAGTAAAGTTTAACAGTGTTATCTCTTAGCAATATTGACCAAATTGATAATTGATGTAAACTTAAAAAACTAAATCAATAAATATTAAATTTTGAGAATTAAGTTGATAACTAAAGAAAATTTAAAATACTAAAAGTTTCTTTATTATTAAAATATAAAAAATGATAGTTGAGGACACTATATTTAAGTTATCCAAGGCTAAATATTACCTTCTGCGTGCTTGGATTAGCCAAATAATCAATTTTTTGGGTTAAAAAATTGATTTCCCAGAAAATTACTCAAACAGCCAAATTTACTCATAATCAATTATTTGACCCAAAATCGATTTTTAGCTCAAGTTTTTGGGGGGGGGTGCTTTTGAATTTCAATTTTACTGTTATGTGTATTTATCATTTGCCAGAAATACTCACCTACCAAATATACCCTTGAATATTATTATTATTCAATAATACCACTCTCTTTGGTTTTCTTTTCGGTGTGAAAATAAAGTTTTTCTTTCTGTCAAATATATGCTCTCACATCTTACATAAACATGCCAAAATTGCCAGATTTTATTTATTTATTTAGTGCTAGGTGTTGCGTGATTAAGGTATTTTTTATATAAGGGTTATCATTAAGTATAATAGAAAACAAAGATGTATCATTAAAGATTAACTTATATATTATCATCTTCATTAGTTATTATATAATTAATATTTGGTGTTTAAAAACTAAATCTTTTTCTTTTATTAAATTTATTTGAACTAAGATATATTGAGTTATTTATTTATGTAAATTAAAATATTAATATTCATATAATTTAAATTTTTATAATTAATCAGATATATAATTTAAATAATATATTTTACTTCTTAGATAAAATTTAATAAATTTAATAATATTAGATAAAAAATTTATTAATAATTTAATTTTAAAAAGAAATATCCTCTATAATAATTTATATAACTAAAATTAATTCTGATTAAATTATTCAAACATCTTCAATTTTGTTAAAATTAATTTTAAAAAAATAATGATCAAACAAATTGCATTATAATATAATTAATTATAATTAAAATTAATATCAAAACAGGCTCTTTACAGTAATGAAAGTAAAAATTTACGAGTCTTTCTTCAACTATAAGTCGAGGAATCGTTGAATGAGTCCATAGTTTTAATGCACCAAGATTTGTTTATTTATATGACTATTGTGTGTTCACCTCCTTTGTTTTTTTTTTTTTTAAATAAATGTACCCCCCCCCCTTCCCCAAAAAACACGCGCGCGCGCGCATATATAGAACTCAAAATGATCAATTCGTAAGAAATCGTTTTGGGAGAATTATGATCGTCAAGGACTAATTATGATCAAAATGATCAATTGTTGTGCATCAAACATCAAGTCATAAGAGGAGCTTTGACCATTGCTGGCTGACTATTCTAATAACTTTTTTCATCAGTTAAGTTATGAAATTTTGTACAATTTTTTTAAAAAAATTATTCAGTAATCAAACAGAAAATTTAGGAGTAGATCTTCCAAAATTTAGCTGCCATCAATTACAATATTACAATATTTTTTGTTTTTAATTAAGTCAAACATGTGAATCTTTCATATTTTATAAGTTAAAAACAATTTTTTCAGAACGCTAGACATTCTATATTGAAAGGTGAGACAATATCCTCTCTAAATAATTTTTTTCAGAAGCAAAATAGCTATTCCATCAAAGACATATTATCTCTCTACTATCTGCTAACATGAAATAATTGTGAAATTCACACACAGTGACAGCAACACATTCTAATCTATTTTGCTTCTATTTCGTTGCTAAATATCAAATCAATTGCCATTGTCACTTTTAGCCCATTTAGCTCACATTAGATTGTCAAAATGAATCAGAATACTTTGTTGTCATTATGCATGGGACTCACAAATATTTCACATCATCAAATAATAGAGAAGATGATGGGTTTTTAATGAAAAGACAATTTTACCCCTCAAAAAATTATTTAAGATAAATATTGCACCACCTTTCAATACAAAAAATATTTAGTGCCCTTAAAAAAAGGTTAGGTAAAAATAGTCTTTACTCCTTGTGTTATTTGCTATTTTGTTCTGCAAGAAACTCTTGCAGTTAACACTATTAACACTTTAAAATCTATTTATTTTGATTCAATTATGAAAATGTATACTGAATACACAAATTTAAGTACCTAAGTCTTCTTTCAACCAACATTTGATCAAGACACTAATTTACATTTTATTGAAAAGAACCAAGATCCTTTAAAATAGTTTCATAAATTTGAGGCCCTTGACACAAATGATATTTCAAATTGATCCTAAAACTTTTTGTGACTTTTTATACTTTGATTACATTGATGAAATATGATGAGAAGTGGTGATTAAATGTAAAGGTACATAGATGCCCAAAAAAGGAGAATCATAGGAAGAAGCTAGTAATTAGTAAAAATAGCAATTTATAACACATTAAAGAATAGCCTACTCAGGTTGCGTAAAGAGCCGTTTATTATATTATAGTTCAGCGCACTCTGTCTTGTCATAATCCCTTTTTTTTCTCTAATCGCCACTATTTCAACTTGATTACTGCTTTACTAATTTTTGTTGAATTAGATTTAAAGATTACGCGCCTCTTATCATTATCAAGAAGCCTGGCTAGTTTTATGCTAAGCATGAGGTCTAAATCACTCTTTTAAACAACTATCTCCACTACCTTCTCCCCCACGCGTGCTTCACAATTATATAATTACCATTTGATTTAATTTATTATTTTTTTTGACAATATCAATGAAGGACTCTAATAGAATTTCTCAAAACATGAGACAATTTAATAAAAATAAGATTTCATTGACGATACTTGTATAATATTACTCTTAAAGTGGGAAGAAAATTAAAATGATTATTATAGTGTAATGACAAGTTATGAAGGGCATATTTGTAAGTTTATATTTTGAAAAATAACAATAAAATCTTCCTGAATTATATAAATGACAATCTAGTCTCTTAATGTTTCATAATCTCACAGAAGTTTCTAGGAACTTTTATGTCAATAAATTTTAAATTAAAAAGATTATTTTACTCTTATTGACAAATTGTGATTTCTTATTCAATTCTTACAATTCTTTGAATATAAGTTGTTATTCTTTAAATAAAAGTTATTATTGGGGCTTATTATTTTAAAAACTTATTTTTCAATAACAAAAATTATATTTGACAAGTTGTGATTTCTTATTTAACTCTTACAATATTTACTGAACAAAAGTTATTATTCCTCTAGTAAAAGTTATGATTGGGGTTTATTATTGTGAGATAAAAATTATACTTGATAAGTTATAATTTTCTATTCAATTCTTGTGATTTATGAAATAAAAGTTATTACTTTTTAAGCAAAAGTTGTTATTAGGGCTTGTTATTTTCAATAAAGGTAAAACGATTTTTTCACTTTAAAATTTATTGACACAGAAACTTTTAAAGACTTCAGTAAAATTATAGTATTTTAAGAGACCGGATTGTTATTTACATAATTTAGGGGGATTTTATTATCATATTTCCTTTATATTTTTGTTTTAAAAAAATAAGTTTGTAAAGTTTCATTGTTAAACTTTCTTGGCATACATAATCTTGTCTCAAATTATTTTATAATTTGGGGTTGAGGAAGTATTTGATAATAATTAATTCTAATAAGTAAAAATTAACAAATTAATAAGTGAAGAAATTGTCTTAACAAATACTCCTTGTTGGATATTTAAAAAAAGTTTAGGGGTTTTTAAGTGATATTCTCCCTTGTTTCTTTCATATATGCTAGTCGAATTTTGAGCATGTTCCCTTGTTTTTTTTTTTTGCTAGAGAGCCAATTTTATTAATCATCAAAAGAAATATTACAATAACTAATAGCCAAAGCCCAAAAAAAAAAATCTCAAAATAACCTCGAATACAATGTAACACAACTCACAAAAGAAAAGAAAACACAATACAAAACCAACAAAACACAAACAAAGCAAATTAAGACAACTTAACCAATGCCTTTTTCCTTCCATTGTGTACCATGATTAAAAGAAGCAAAAATATTATCAATCATTAAATTAGCAAGCAAAAAATGAGACAAGAAGAT